CTTACAGAGATAATATCAACAGTAGCTAATTATCCAATACATCTATTCAAGCTTACACCTCATGAGTATGTTGCTTATATGTGCTGCAGTTCACTGTAAATCTCCCGTTCATTACTGTTCACAACCCACAAACATTACTTTTTTGATATATTCTAGAGCCATACATATTTACACTTGGAAAGAAAATTAAATACACCAAATGTCTAATAAGTAGTTCCCTTCTATCCTTAGCATATTCAAGGGCAACTATTTTAGTGTCGTAATGAAATAAAATCTTTTCTTCAACAGAGGTATGCTAGAATACTTTAATCATCACTTGTATCTATTTTCAGCACATATTTATTGACTGCTCTAGAGCTCATTAAAATAAACAGAGCCTTTTGGAAAGTGTTTTTGTGTTCCAATGATGATAATTAAAAAGATGGTATTCATGCTGCTTAGATTATATGAAGTGTACTCAGATATCTTTTTAGAATCTAAAGGCAACAACATGCACCTGTTGTCCTTGTTAAGTACCTATACTTGAAGGGAAATCGACGAGCAAGTGCAAAGAAAATTAAAAATGATCCAAACTAGGACGGAAAAATTATTAACAACTATGATAAACATGCACAGTTGTTAATCTAAGACGCTTTGAATTATGGAAAAAAATAAATAGAGCTCATGTAAAGATAACATCAGGAGTAAACTTGTATAATAATAAGATAAATTATATGTACCATATTTTTTAACTCTGCTCTTTGCAGCACATCTTATCTTGATACATCTACTTATTCCTCCTTTGGAGATATTAAAACAATTGTTTGCCATTCAAGTTATCAATAGGTTAGTAATGAAAATGAAATTAAGCAATAGCAAACATAAGAATGTTTGCACTAAAGTGCAGCAAAAGTTGTTACAATCTACTGTGTATGCAAGTTTTGCTGTATTCTTCCAAAATAGAAAATTATTACGTTTTCTAAATCATCTAATTTCTACTCTCTATTAATTTTCACTTTTAGTGAATAAAGACCTTTTCTTTCAAGTAGAGTAGTCAAGTAAAAAACATTAACAGCTTGCCCATGTATGAAGATTGCATGGACTTCTGCGGAGATTGCAGTGATTTCTTGTTTAATGCTTTTGTCAATGATACAGACTACAGAGATAGAAGAATTTGTAGTTTTTCCATCGGGAGTGTGTCAGAGACTTCCCTGTGCTCTTAGCACAAAATGCAAAAGCATCTTCCTAAAGTTCAGAAGTGATGAGGACCTCCACGTCCTTCTCCACTTCTGCAGGAACATAATGATAGCTCCTTTACGGAATCCATGGTTCAAGGTACTGATTTTCCTTTTTCTCTAAACTCTTTCACAATGCCTTCAGTGACTAATCAAGTTTAGAATTGCTGTGGTTATGTTGATAACATCACACAGGACATTTCCCTTTCAAACGGAACAGTCTTAATTTTTAGAATCAACTTTGGAACCAACTATTTTCCAGTTAATAGAGAAGCTTCCTTCCAGAAACAATTTCTAGTATGCATTTTAAAATTCTCATTTCTCAAATTCTCCCTGTTAGCGAACTGAAATACCAAGAGCAAAAATAGATGGGCTTTCAACACTCTAAAGTCTAGTTTGCTCACTGAAGAGCAGGGGCAATCAAGCAGAGGAAGAGCCTATCTGCTTCATTCTCTTACAATTCCAGCAGTGGTCAGTAGTAGATGTGTAGTGAAAGAGCGTTGGGCACCTACCTGTGAGGGAATTCTAGTAGTATATCTTTCTACCTTCCAGCAATCGGTAGCAGAGGGAACCGTCCTCCTGCACCGAGTTTATATCTGTCTGTTGTTTTGTTCAGAACAGAACACCCTCTTTTTTCAGATCATCTGCTAAGACAGTGACCAGCACAGGTCCTCCTAACACACCCCTCCAACTATTTTGAAAACAAGTAATTTGTTCCTACATAATTTTCTTATCTCTAATCAGTCATTAATTTATGAAAGGACCTTCTTTCTTGGCCCATGACAATTTCCAGTTAATAGCATTGGGAAAGAACCTCATCAAAAGTGTTCCGTGGAAATAAACATAGTATATCAAGCATACTTACTTGCTTCCCAGATTTCAAAAAACTCTAATAGACTGAGAAAGCATGATTTTTTTTCCTGAAAGAAAAGCAAAAACCAAGCCACGTTGACTCCCCCATTGTATCATATATTATTCATTCATGTTGTGGTCACGACCAGTTTCCTTCATCTAGGAGCTAGAATGACTTTTTATGCAGATCCCTCTGGATTCTCTTTTCAAAAATAGGATTTGACACTTGCCACACCTATTCTTCCTGTGCTAAGGCCACTATAAGATATAAGCTATACATCAAAGCTGGTTGGTTGGCAATTTCTTGTCTAAGTTCCTTTGAAATACCTGAGAGAATATTATCTGGTCCTTATATTTATGACAGTCCATTTTATGAATGTCTTCTAAACTACTGTCTATTGACACTAAATTTGAAAAACTTCCTGGGACTTACCCCCCATAAGAAAAAGCTCCAGGATAAGAGCTTCCCAAACTCTTCCAATGCAAAGTATTATCTCATTTTTATGCCTTAAAGACTCTCCTCTTTCAGTGTATTTGAAAAAAAAAAGGTTTTATTAATACTTCTTATGCTCTTAGAACATTGTTCCTCAAAGTCTTTGTGGGCTTGCTATATACTTGGTATATATAGTTTGTGGGCTTGCTATATATACTTTACATTTAACTTACTAGAGTTCATTCTTTTTTCTTATTCTCAGATGACTCCCTTTGGTAGAAATTTCTTCTTGTTCTTTAACTAGGCCTTTAAAAAGCCCACAGTTTTTGTAGCATGTCACCAGCCCCTACAGAAATTTCTATGGATTATTACTGAAAACAGCTCCAAAGCAGTAAGCTAATAACTGCTGGGCATGAGATTTGCCCAGGAGATACAACACGCAATACGAGTGTGCATGGGTTCGCAATCTCAGTCTCCCACCCTGCAGCTCTTTCCCAGCAGCATTAATGGGAACTCAGATGTAATGGGACAAATATTTATCAGCAGCTTCAGACCTAAGCATGTTCCTCCCATATCTCACGGGGCTTCTTTCCCTGCAAATCACACCAGCCAACAGTGGAAGACCATTTGCACCGTGCCTTTCTCTTATTGCACATTAGTTTTAGGGCATGGCAGAGGGGTGTTGGAACTAGATGACCTTTAAGGTCCCTTCCAACCCAAACCATCTATGATTCTATGATTACATTTGTACCTCTCTCTCAGATAGGAGAGAGTTTTCTTCACCGAAATCCTTTTCTTCTTAAGAACAGCCCTAAAAGGACTGCACTATCCACACTTCAAGGTCAGATGCCAGCAGTACAAGGTGGTCAGCAGTTATGATAGAAAATACAATTGCCTCTACACCCCATGACTGATCAGTTACGTTTGACAGCTCTCTGCTTCGTGACACCGTTAGACACAGTGAGTGTGAAATTTAGCTTCAGTGACTCCAGCCTCTCATTACAGCTTTCTCTAATGTCCCATGGCAGAGAGGCTGAGAGAGCTGAACCCTGCTGAAACTTGAAAGGGCCCAATATTAAAGAAGGCATAACAGCAACAGTTCTTGTTTCATGCTGACCAAGCTTCCCCTCCATTCACACGATACACCTGAAGCAGCAGTGGTGGCCAGTGCTTCGCTCAGCAGGAGAAGTAGCTGCTGTGCTTCACACGCACCTTGGAGCTGTGATCAGCTCGGGGAAGTCTGCCTTAAGCGCTCCCTCAGATAATCAACAAAAATGTGGCTGCTTAATGATGGCAGCCCTCTATTTAAGGTAGAGCGGCCTAAGCCTAGAACTAATTTCAATCAAAAGAACTGTTTAATTATCTTGCTCGTTTTACAAATGGGCTTACTTAGACATAAAAGAATTTAAGTGAGCAGTGTGAAGGCAAAAATTGTTTACCGAAATTGGTAGGAGCACATACCAGCAGACCTGGATTGCCAGTCCTCTGCTGTAACCCCTTCAGTGTGATATATTCATTTCGTTCCTTTCAAAAACTACTTCTCTGTGCATCCAAAAGAGATTCGGAGAAAAAAGGGGAGTCACTCAGAGATTTTTGACACACCTGTCCTTGGGGACCGAGAACATAAAGGTTATAGCACGTGCCTTCCAGACCCTGACGGCATGGAACGAGAATGGCTTATTTAACTTGCAAAGCTCATAAAAGCAAAGAGAAGTGTCAGGGTAAAGATAACACTATTATCCACAGAAATACTGGTACAGACTTTTAAAGCCAGGTAGAAATTTTGTATGCAAAGTCCCATTAAAGCAAGGGGGAACAAGCATCCAAGCTCTTGGAAAAACTCAGCTCTTTTACATCATGTGCTTCCAAACCAGGATTTATGGTCTCTAAAAACAACCAGTAACTAAAATTAGTGTAATGCAGGTTGTGCTGCACATAAAAGATAATTTCATCAAACTATACAGGTAAGAATTTTAAGTTACCTACCGATACCACTCTTTGTCCTTGAAGGTATTGAACAAATGTGCTGGACACCACTTCTTAATTTTTCTGGTCTATATCACAGTCTCCTTCTAGTCACGTTTATTGCTACATATTTATTAATACTAGACAACTGAGTTGCTATCACTTAAAGAGTTACTGTATACTTATGGAGGTAGATGTACACGTTTTTTTGCTACAGAAAACATAGGACAGAAACATTAAGCTTTAATAAAAGTGATTTAAGATAATGTTTGCAGCGGACAGAGTACACACACAAGCAGTCACTGCAAGTTAGCTGACATGGAGTAATTCATAAAGCAAGAGCAATTCACATTTGTGGGAGCCCTTGCTTTTTCAGAACTATCCTCTCACTCAAGATGTCTCAGAGTTGAATTACCAGGTTCAAGCTTTTGATTTTCAATCACAAACACACAAACTGTACTGATATTTTCTGAAGCTTCACTCATACATTTCCCAAACAGGCACTTTATAAGGAGGCTCACAAGTCAGATACTCACTGATCTGGTTGGTAGATGCACTATAAAAAGCATTTACAGTAGTCGGGCTTGTAAACCACCTGTAGTAAGAGCAAAAGAAATCAGCTGTCAGTACACTTACACACCTTTATGAATAGAATGAGCAAAGATAAAAGTGCACTCAATGGAAGGAAGCAAAAATGTGAAAGACCTAGGATACATTAAAGTTTAAGTATTTCTCCATTTCAACACATGCTGCCTACACTTTCTAGAATATTGAAATGCATTGTTTAATGGCTTTAGTTTAAGAGCATATAGTCCATGAATGTTCAACGGGAGTGACCGTTAAGCTTCCTATCACCTAGTCTGCTTTATTTCTAAGTGACTACTGTGCTTGTGAGGTCTGCCATGCTGACGAACTGAAGTTCACCCAACACAGGCTGCAACACTGATAGCAGCTGTGAAAACTCTCTTACATGTCTTTCAACCATGTGTGGAGAAACTCCCTCTTGAAATTAGAAGAGAGCATTTTGAAAGGAGTGAAGTGGCTTCAGACGCTTTGCTGAACAACTACTTGAACAATTAGGACGGTGCCAGCAACATGGGCAGGTGCTTTCTGGGAACCTAAATTCAAAATAAGCAGCTTCACGTTCTGTACCCTACACACTGAACATGGCTATCAGTGTGCTCATAAACAAATGGAGGAATATTAGCATTTCTTCTCATAGTTAGATTTCTCATGCTTGCTGGAGGGAAACCTAGATTTGAACAGCAAATAGGATTTACCACTCTCAGCCTAAGCTTATCTATATTGACAGTGGTTTCACCCATATGAGTGGAAAATCTCAACTGGTTTCAGCAAGATCCAAATCCCCTCAGATGAAACTCTGAGTTCAGTGAGTCCAAGATTTCACTTTATGATTTTATAAAGAAGTGAGATAAAAGAAAAGTAAAGATTATGACAGTTAGTGGTTAATTCATAAGAAATTAGAAGCAACTGCGGTAATGCATTACTTTGTTGCAAAACAAAGAGTGAGACAAAGGAAGGTCTATCAGAACATGGAAAATGTGTGATGTCAGTGACATTCACATACACGAATCTGTGCTGTAAAATAGCACCATCAAATGAATGAATTATCTGCAGATCCTGACTGTTTTTCTGGCAACTGATCTCCTCATGTAAAATATGCAACAAAGGGAAGAGTTTTAGAATGGCAGCATTCTGTCTTTTATCAATAAATTCTTCTGCTTTTCTCATCTTCAAAGCTGAGCAGCTTATTTTACAATGCAGCAACTAGAAAAACTAACCAATGAAAGCAAAGGGTGATGTCATGTAAATATCTTAACCGTCCATCACATTATAGGCTCTAATTGCCACAGATAACTCTCCCTGTTTTGTTTACCTAGGAGATTCTGAAGGGGAGGAGCAGGGGGGGGTTGTTTTCTGATGTGTTTTTTGTTTCCTCTATAATAAAGAGATTAAATGTTAGAGGAAATGTAGTGCGATAATGGAAAATTGAAGAAATAAGGCTTATGGTGAGGGGATAAAGAAAAAATTAGGGGGCTTAATTAACTACATTTCAATTTCATGTTTGTTCACAGCAGCAATCAGCTGAACTGTTTTGAAGGATGCAAGCCACTTGACGGTGGGACTGCTCTTGAGGCTTAGCAGTAGCTCTGGAGGACTCTGTACCTTTTTTGACAAGGAAAGAACCTGTCTGAAAAGGACCCATCTGAAACTCAACACTTTAACTTAGATTTTACTGTAAGTTTGAATCAAGACACATAGCGTTGTGACTTCCACTGCACCCTGTTGGCTTGTTCTACTTGCAACAGCCTTTCTGTTCTCTCAAACAGCAACTTTTAAGCATGAAAAAGTCTTCCAGGGCCATAAATCCTTTCTTTTTGCAAATCCTTCTTAGAGCAAGTGTGTTACAGGGCCTCTCATCTCCAGTCACAGGATTAAGGGCCTGAGACAGATAACATACTTCAAAACAGACTAATGTGCTTTGCTCTTCTCCCCACCCTCTTTGCTGCTGAAGCCCCAGGAGCTCACCACAGCTAGTTCAAGATAGGAACCACCACAAGCACTGACTGGCTAAAGAGCTCTTCACTGACAAGCAACACCTCCCTAACAGTACAATTTTGCACCTGCTGTTATTGGGTGAGGAGCTAACCAGTGATGCACGTACTTGTCACCACAGGAGCACCTCACTCTGCCCAAGAGCAACTGCAAATGCTGTTTTGGTCCACAGCTACTGAGGGAAGACATCACACCACTGCTGGCCATGCTTTCATACCTATGAACTCATAGACTCGTAGCTCATAGACTAGCTACCAAGATTCACCACAACATCCCCATCCTGAGACTGCTTCTTTCTTCATGACCTACCACCACAACAGCAGAGCCCATTCTGTCTTCTGAGCTTAGTATGAGCCAGAGACCGATAGCAGCCTCAATCTTCTCACTGCAAAACTGAACTAAGTTCTTTCCAAGTCGCTCGTTCATAAGAAGGTCTCAAGAATGACCCTGTATGAAGTTTGTTGTGTTTTTAAGCAGCTAGGAACAGGAGACAGCAGCTGTACCAAAGAGTCAGGAAGAACAAGAGTTCTCTAGTGACAAGCAGAGTATACCGCTGAATTTCATATTTGACATTTAGACACTCAGCAAGGAGAATATTTACACTCCAGCATTTTGTTGTACCATTCTGAGCCACTCTCAAAATGATTTAGGAAGTATTTTCCACAAAAGAGCAGAAATAACAGAGACTGTTTCCACTCAGACTAGAAGAACAACTTCACCTCTTATCTGTCATTCTCTTTCAGTGAGCTCCTTGAAATGATTGAACCTTCAGTGACAGACCTTAACTAATATGACATCAACTTACTATTATGAAGGTCTGTAATAAATAGCTATCGCTGTTAAATTTTAAGGTAAAGCAAATTTAGAAATAGCTTTCATTCCTGTTTGAAGTCAGGTCACCTGGTCATTTCCTGTGTCTGGTTACAATTTCAGTGCATTTGATCTATTAGCAGAAAGATGAAAAAAAAAAGGCATAACAAACCCTAAGCTCTTATTAATTAAAAACTAAATTTATAAAGTCTAGAACTCTTTACACTGTTTCCATTTGCTATTAGCATGTGAAAAAGGGACAGCTTCAAACAATGTCCTGTAACGTTACCTATCAACCACTGCAGCAGTCAAAACCTAATGCTGCAGACTTGACATTTGTAAGTTTGAGACTTCTCTTGTAGAAATAAAATCCCACAGAGATAGCAAGTGGGGCAGATACTCTCTTCGGTTTGTGCTTCTTTAGGCTACAATTTTCTGTGATGTCTTCCTTTCTGAGTTATGAGTATAGTGTGCTATATTGCCAGCCATGAAAAGGGGTGACTGGGAACATTTACAATACAGATAAAAGCTTATTAATTTATTTAATTTTCTGTAAAGCACAAGCTGAATTTGCAATTTGTTCTCTCAGCTTCTTGAGTTAGACGAAATCACTCAGGTGGAGCAGAATTTGGTGTTCAATGTCCCAAGTAAGATTTTTTTTTTTTTTTAAATCATGTAAGTGAAGAAAATGAATTTGTGAATGTTTAATGCACTTAAGCTGGTTAGAAGTGAAATGCCGTACAAAGTTACTAATGAAGTTGGAATCTGGAAAATCTCTTCCCAATACAGGACTATAAAGAAAAACTTCTAAAGGAGAGGCAATCTTCAAAAGTGTATTTCCATTTCTCATTGTTAGTCTGTTTTATTCATTTTTCCATGTAGAAACAGGGAATTAGCCTCCCATGCCAGGCTGCCACCTGTGTCCCCGGGGGCTGGACAAGAAACTGGAATGATAAGGCTGGGCCCAGCTTCCTCCACCACCACACTGCTTAAAATGAGGTTCAAAGATCAAGAAAAGGCTCCGGGAGGCTCCTTCCCGGCCTCTCCTCTTCAGGGCAGGTCCACCCACAGGATTTCTGAGCTCTCCTGACAACAGCCTGCCCAGTGTCTTTCATGGCTGCTTTTCCCTTTTTCCAGAAGGAGCTTTTGCGCTGTCCTTAACAGCATCTAACCCAGCCCCTCTCAGAGCTGCCTGCCCTGTGGCAAACCAAGAGCCAGGGCTTAAAAACAATAGTGTGTGATCAAGAAACTGGAGTAGGTCCTGGAGGAGACCCAGGAATATTCCTATAGCACACGTCCTCTGTGCATTGGGCTGCTAGATGCCTGCATCTCCAGAACTGAAAGTTGAGTGCAAAGTGAAGAAAGATTTGGCCAGCTCTAAAAGTCTTAGAGGAGATGTTCCTGACTTCAAAGAAGAAAGATTAATGATAACTAGGTGGTATGCTCAAGAAGTCTTCTGATCCCCTGCTATTTGCAAGTATGATATCAGTGTTAAGAAAGATAGATTCAATCACTGTTAAAAAGGTGTGGGTGTGTGTTTATATATACACAGACATGTGTATGTATATTTGTATGTATTAATGTATATGGTTCCATGGATGGGTAAGCAAGCACCACTAAAACCCTGATTATCCTTTATCTCTCCCTTCCACGTGGCCATCACTTCCCCATGCCCTGCCTTTCACTTCCTTCTGCTCTAGTCATGCCTCACCTGGCTTATTATAATTGTCTTTGCGCCTTCCCCTTCCTCCCATACTCCCCCTTCTAGCCTCATCTCCTCCATTCAGCCCTCTCAATCCAACTTGCACCGTTTCGTGCATCATATTCCTCAGCTCCTGCCACAAATCCCTTTCCTATGTCTCTCTCCTGATACCTGAGCACTTTTTCTCTTGTTTGATAGAGCCAGCTGTGAAGACGACAGCCATCTCCCCAGCCAGCTGTTAGAATCGCAGCCAGCATCCAAAGCAGGTATTGAGGACAACAAACTTGAACATAGGAAGTTCCATCTTAACATGAGGAGGAACTTCTTTACTTTGAGGGTGGCAGAGCACTGGAACAGGCTGCCCAGAGAGGTTGTGGAGTCTCCCACACTGGAGACATTCAAAACCTGCCTGGACGCCATCCTGTGCAACCTGCTGTAGGTGACCCTGCTCTGGTGGGGGGGTTGGACTGGATGATCTCCAGAGGTGCCTTACAACCCTGACCATTCTGTGATTCTGTGACAGCAAGTTGGACCTTCCGTAGCTGTGGTGCCCGTGTGGGAACCTGGCCCCTGGGACTGGAAGAGCAGGTGGCTCAGGCACCCCTATGCCTTGTCACAGCTGCTTGGTACCAGTTGGGCTGGGTACGTCCCCCCCATCCGTGCCATGAGCAATGCCTCACCTGAGTCTTTCCATTCTCCCTTTTTCCTGTAAGGCAGATAACTGCTATGGAGGGAGGGAGCAGAGCAAATGACAAAGAATTTTGATAATTACTCCTGTTTTGGTGGATTTTTGTTCCTCTTTTCAGATTAAAAAACTGTTGAATTTCCAGAATAACTTATTTCCACTTTGATATCCACATTCCCCCTTTCTTTATCAAACTCCTCCCAGCTCCTCTGTCTGTCCCCTGATAGTGTTTTGCTGGTGATTTGAGTGAACCATCATTTTGATTTTCCATTTAGTTGACTATGCTAAGGAACGTGAGTCCAGTTTGAGATAATATTGCTGAGAAACCTGGACTGTCTGCTAAATGAATATACCATTTTAACTTTTGGGTGTAGTATTACTATTACTTTACTAGCTGGTAATTTATTTCCTTTTCTTATTTATCTTTTTCAGTCCACAACTTGGACCATCTATAATAGCTATGTCTAAATAGAAATGATATGCTAAAACGTACTGAACTAGGGAAAAGAAGAAATGAAGCAAACAGAAACAAAACCCCAAGGGTAATTCTCTATTAACACAGCACCAAGCTTCAGTGTAGAGTGAAGAACTGTGGAGTTCTATGAAATATAAAAGCTGGAAAAAAAAAAAAAAAACAACAGAAAAAGAAAGAAAGAAAAAAGAGAAGTAAAAGCATCAGAAAGTAGTAGAGACTGATAGTTAGAATGTGGCAAGTACTGATATATTTAAGCTCAGATGTGATATGCCACAGATTGGTGGGTGAGAGTTATTGGTTTATTATAATAAATTTTAAAAAAATGTTATTGGAGGTGGCAATGACTCTCTATGCCTTGGTACCCCCTCAGCAGACACAGCAAAAGCGGACAGTGTAAGGGAACACCACTTTCAGAGCTCTTTTCTATCACCAAGCAGGTGCAAAGGCAGCATAATCTCCCACAAGGAATAATTATGATTGAGGGTTCAGGTGGGGGTTCCCCCCAGCCCCCCAGAAAGCAGAGCCTCACCCTGTGCTGACAAAGGAAAGAGACCGAAAATCAAACTGGGATCCCCCAGGCCTGTATGTGCCCCGTGGGATGACAAGAAGAGCAAGACAAAAGTGATGAGGGGGCTGCTGTTAAGTAGTCCTTGAAATAAGACAGTAAAGACAAGTCTGAGAAGGTATTCAATCTTGTTGTGGGCAATTGGGTAAAACCTTTTTAAGCGTACCCACTTGATGGGACAACCTCTGAGGTGTACAGTCGGGAATTACCCACCAATTAACTTCCTTACAGGGGAAACTTCCCGCCGTGCCAAGAATCTACGTGGTCTGCGTTAGAGCTGCCGCAACACAGTTCAGGAGGAGGAAGGATCACCATTGGTATAGAGAGGCAAGCGTTATTTCACCGCTCTCATGGACACAGTTGGTCTGAAGAGAATATACTGTCCTGGTCCAGCTCTGGCACCCAGGGCTGCAGGAAAGCCCACAAAATCATCCCCTGGCATTAACCCTTGCAATGTCAGAGAAAGGTGTGTTGAGAAGTAAAATTCACAATTAACTTTAAGCTATAAACAACCCTTTGAAAATATCGGGTGAAGTTACAACACTCTATCGAGGAATAGGCTGCGCCTGGCCTGCTGACATCCTCTACCTGCCCCACGGGCAACACAGAGCCACCCCCAAAACAAGGTACGGTTCAGTCTGAGTAGGAATTTCTGGAGCCCTAAGGAAACACCGCCACAGAAGCTCAGCAGCAGCACCAATTTCAAAGTCTCTGTTTAAAAGGAGTGATTTTTAAATAGCATGATTAGACTAATTAAGTTCTGTTTAGGTTTTAATTTGCATTTTAAGGATTTGATTACCCACCAGTAAGAAAAGAGACTGATTCTTTCATGTATTTGATGACAGTGTGACACAATCTGCCCTCTTAGGTTTACAAATAAATAAAAATAAAATATGTAAATTAAATTACATCTTATTCCGTATCATTGCTATCAACAGCAGGTAACTAACAATGCCGATTGCTATTACTAATAACAATGTTATCTCTTACTAATGGTTCCATTCTTAGAAAATTTATTTCATAAATCCCTGCTGTACCATCCCAAATTCTAACTGTGACCAAGAGACATAATCCATTTTTAATTGAGATTCAATTACCCTTTTTTTCATTAAAAGTCTAAGCTGCAATCATATGACTGCTGTGCATCAGAACAGGCATACCTACAACTTTCAAAAAAAAATATCCACAGCAGTTTCTGAATAACTGGGGGAGGGGGGTTGGCAATAGGCTTTTTGTATCATATGTTGTTGTGAATGTAATTCTATTAAAACACACATTTTATAAATTAAATAATAGAAATTAAAATATTGTTAGAAGATTATGTAAATTTGTCTTTTGTCTACTCACTCTGTTTTTGGAACTTCTTTTCTAAGCCAGTAGAAATCAGATTGGGCTGCGTATTTGCGAGTTTGCAACACGTTGCCAAAATAGTCACTTTCTGTAAACTTCAGCTGTATAGATAAAGCACAGACATTTTTAATGCGTGTCCAAGGAAACAAAAGTTGACATAAAACAATCAGAACTTTTATTTTAAACAAGATAATCACCTGATTTTTTAGCCATTATCAAATCAAAGCGAGTAAAATTTTCACACTTGGTAGGAAGAAAAAATATTTTGTGAGCTTAGTTAAAAAATGGTGGCTGAGTGGATCTACAGAAGAGACTGGAACATTGAAAAGCTCTTCCCTGCGCAGAGAACAGCTGAGGAAATCAGAAGTACCCAAAGATGCATTGCAGACTGCATGTTTCTAAGGCTGCTATCCAGGCAGCCTCTTTCCCATAAGGAAGTAAGTCTACTTTTATTTTCAAAAGTGCATTTTAAAACCATTTTCAAAAATGTAACAAAGCCCTTTTTTTTTTTTCAGTTTGTTTTGCATTTTATTACAAATACTTTGTACTCCGTGCCCTCCGAGGGTTCTGCTGCTGCTTTCTTACTGTTTCTCACATTAAATGCTTACAGCCATAGGGCTCCATGATTCCATAAGCCTCCAAATCTAATAGGAATGCCACACACACACAACTAACCATGCAAGAAAAAGGGATGTTAATTTTTTATAAATCCAGCCGATATTCCTGTCACCAGTTTCAAGAAATCCTATGACTTTTGAGGGAGTTATACTTCAGATTTAAACTATGTTTTTGCAGCCATGATTAACAAGTGTTTTTCACTAAACGTTACCACTTATCTGGGCAAATAATTCCATATGTTGAGTAGAAATTTGGTCCCATCCTCCATTTCATTACATTGCCTTCACAGCACCACCTCACCCTAGTCTTTCCAAGAACAAGGACTAGGCTTGTAGAGTTGGTTCTTCAAAGTTTTCTCAATAAATTATGCTTTTTAGTGTTCTTTCATGTTCTCTGACAAAGATGACTATCACACTTGTATTTTACCAGCTCAGGAGTGAATGTGTGACTCTACTTTGCCTGTGACTTTCAGTAATACAATTCATTACATGCGTGCCACAGTTTGGAAAATGGTAAAATATACCATCTTCATCATCTGCCTTCCTGCCTTAGGTAGACTGAACAGATCCTGGGTCAGGAAGGAGTCATGTCCCTCCCCTTGCCCAGTATCCTTGTCCAGCAGCCAGCACAGTAAACATATACATTGGTTAGGACCTCTAGACGTGATTATAACCAACAACCCTGGAGAGGTGGGGAGAGGCTGTATAGGGTACCATAAATTGTGTTAATTTGAGGAAAAATGCATTAGTATTTTTGAAGATGACTAATTTGAGGATTGTTTTTTTGTTTTGTTTCGTTTTTACAACTAAATGCAAAACTTAACTCCAGTGTATATTTAACCTTTAAAATGGTTAATAGCAGGAAGGTTCTTTGTACCCAAGCACATTTTTAGTCCCAGCAGGCCTTGTGGTGATCTCACTTAGACACACCAGCACTGACAATTTAGACATGAGAGCGAGCATACTTAATTCAACATCTAAAAATAAGCAGGGAAGCCAAACTCCAGAAGCATGCCATACAAAAGAAGAGCTTTGATTTTAGACAGCAGCAAAACAGAGCAAAGAATGGCTGCAATATGTAAAAGAAGAAAGCTGCAAGTCTGACACTTACTGTTTTGATGTCTTCATTAATATATGTGTCATTCATTATAAATTGAGGGTAACCCACTTTTGCCATAACTGCTTTTGCCTTTGAAAAAAAAGAAGAAAAAAAAAAGAAAAAAGTGTTGGCAGATATAAACATTTCTCAGTGTACGGCTTTTTTTTCCCCTCCATTCTTTTTTCACTTTGTATTATTATGCTTCCCTGAAAGCATCCTAATTTAACTTCAAACCAACCTGCCTACAAGGTAGACTTGGTGCCACAAATGAGCTTTGCGTCACAACGTGGAGGGTCCAGGTTGTCTTGTCAGATTATCACAGTGGGTCTGTTGTCACCTGCAGAGCTTTTACAGACTTACAACAATGCATTTGAGTGCAAAATCTTAACAGCTGATTTTCCCCACTGGTTTTTGTGTTAATCAGATGGTCAAATGCCTGTTTTTACAATGTTTTCCAAAAGATAACAGGAAACGGCCCATTTTGCTATGACGCAGTAACTGGTATGCAACCAACTGTTAAAATAGATTTGATACACAGATATGAGTGAACCTGGGTCCCAGCAAGTGCAGACTGGTGTATTTCCACCGAAACTCACTTCCATTTACACCTGAGGATGGGTGCGCGCACACTTTTTTTGAAGTACTGTACTTTCCTAAAACCACAGGGCTAATCTTTGGTTCGTTCTCCACTTTCATCCCTCTACTTTGCAGTCTTTGCCCTTCCCCTACTGTAAGTAAAGTGTTAAAATAAGACACCTCACTTTTCATTGACTTTGGGGTTTTTTTTTTCCTCATTCAGTCACGACTTGTTGCCAGTGTTTATGCACCATTTCTGTAAACGCTCTGGTGAGAAGTAGTAGTAGCTGTAAGATAAGTATTCCCACTTTGTAAAGGATGGAGTAAGTATGTAAACAGACTTAGTAAGGTCCTCAAAAAACACTGGCAGGCCACCCTGCCACCCAGAATTTCTGTGGAAACAACATGTTTCCAGAAGAAAAGCAGAAGGATACAAAAAGATAAGACGATGTACCAAGAAATGAAATATGATAAGTCAATAGAATAAATTAAAGCTGTGGTGTACTAGGGTAGCACAAAGCTTTCACTTTGTATGTTTTCAGGATGCTGAATTTAATTTTAATGAATTTTAATTTAAAATGAATTTTAATTTAAAGTCTTCGAAATTGCCCCACCCCTCAAAAAATGCTCTTCTGGAAATCTATTCTTCAAACTCAGGTGTCCAAACACAAATGAATATTGCAAGATATGAAGTGCAATAAACGGACTGGCCTTTAAACTGACTGCAGCCATACCAACCCTGCATTCTGCTCTCTGCAAGCAGAGCCCAAACCTCTCTGGGGTCTACCGGCTTGTATTTCCCTCTTGCTGCAGGGGGTGGCTGTTCAAGGGAAGATTCCCCTTCATCCTCAAGTGAAATTCTTGCCCCCTTCCCCTACACAGTGTCGCAATACAACAGGGCCTCCTATGACAGCAGTTTTTTTTGTTCCACAACTGTAAGAATTTAACCAAAATTATTTTGTCTCCTCTTTTATTTTTCAAGAAGAAAGGATTTTTTTGCTTCTTCAAACTCCTTCAATTTCTCAATCTCATTTCCAGCCCAAAGTCATAATCCTCCATTTGTGACATCACAATTAATTGTTGTTGAGATAATTAAGATGTCACAAACAGAAGATTACAACTTCAGGTAGGAAATTAGCAGCAGGAGCAGATGATGTCTTAAGCAAGAAAGATCCCATTGTCATGCAAATATCCCTAGTGATAAAAAAAACAATGGAAGACAAATGCTGAACAGGAAATATGAAATGAGTCCAATTAACTCTCAACACAATGTTTTCTCAGTTTTCCAGAAGGTAGAGCAGCCTTCCAAGATATTTTAAATGCCAGTGGGGAGGGGGTGTGTGTATGTATAAAAAGCAGGGGGCTGGAGTACCACTAATCTGCAAGTTCGTATATAATCAAGAGCATCTTTTTTTTTTTTTCTGGTAGTATTGTCAGGTCCAGCTGACTGAACTTTGCAAGAACTGGAAAATTTCCGTTTTCCATTTCAAATGTTTCAATCTGAGTTGTTACACTAGTCTTGAAAAAGCAAAGTACAAAACTCAACAGTTTTAGTTTTTAGTGAGTCAGCTGCTTAAACAAGTTCAGAGAACCTCAAATGTTCTGCATGTGTTCCAGAGCAACCATCTGAATCACTTAGAGTAGCCTCTGTGTTGAATCTACTTAATTGAGCCTCTTAGCATTTTGATTAAACAGATTTAATTTAAAAACTAACTTACACAATGAAGAGTAAACCCTTTAAAAACAATTTCTAGCGCAACTTGCAAAAAATCAACAGTGGCTTTTAAAGAAAAAGTAAGGATTAACTGTGTCAGTACACTGTCATTTCACCAATGATTTAGCCAGTACAACGTTGATCAGAAATTGTTGATCATGTTTTGGCACATAAAAGAACATTTTTGGCTTTGAACTATATTATATCCTTTAAAAACACTCGATTTCTAGACTGCCTTCCAAATAAAAGCCAATAAATTCACGTCTCGCTGGCTGTAAACGCAGAGGACTATGAAGCCAGCCTAGATCTGGCAGCACTTCTTTGCTGAAAGAAGCAGAGATGGGCCCTGCCCTCAAACCCACGGTACTAGTTGTCTGGTTGCAACCACAATATGTCTATCTCCATTTCACCATATGGGCATTTTGGGGTCTTTATGGAGCATCTGCCACATCCATCTCAGTCTCTTCTTCCACAGCAGCCGACTGAGAGCAGCAGCTTGGAACTGCCATATTTTCGTTCTTTTAGACCCCACTCCTTAACCAAACATCTCTAAGGGTGAGGATGATTCCTCCAGATTCCTTAATAGCAGATCTGACATAGGTTGATCTAAAAATCATATATAATCTTATAATGTCATAGATAATAATATAATTAATATTTAATGTTAATTTTGTATTTTAGTGACACTTAAATCCTTTAGCCTTGTCATGCCCCTGCTGCATTTGAAAAGGAAGATGGGATGAGTTCTCCCAACCTCAGGAGAGCTGAGCTCACTTGTCAGGTCACACATACTCTTGCTTTGTGTCTTTGACAATTGATGTCATGAGCTTAAGATTTCTATGTTCGAGGAAAAAAAGGTCAGAAACTGCCACAATGTTTTGTTACAAAGGCTGTATAAAACCCCAGCAAATAACAGAGTTTGTCTCAAAGACTTGCTGCTCCTAGTACTTTGATGTTTTATCAATAGCTAAAGCTGTCTCTATTTTGTAAGATATATAGATATACATATAGATTTATATAGAGATAGATAAGGGAAAAATGTTATTTTACTGCATTAGTTACTTAGAAGGTTTTGCCACAATATGTATGTTTCAGAAGTCTGAGCAAGACACCCAGGCAACTATATACTCTGTAATGACTGAAGTCTAAGGTAGACTTTACTAGCACTGTGTAGACCTTACTACCACTGTAATTCTGATGCCTTCTTGAATGTTCCACCAGTCATGTAGGAAAACAGATTCAGAAAAGTACACACTTTTTTACTACACCACCGAGTTAATTTGTTATTAGAAAACATAGGTACATGCTTAAACACCATTACAAAGCTTCTGGACCATCTAAAATCACAAAAGAAAAACGTCCTTTAAGAGCCTTTTTGAGAACATCTATAGCAAGAGCTGACGGAGAGCAAATTGGTTGTTACGTGCAATCCATGACTCACTATACAGGTTGTCCCAGAAAAGGAATGTGTCTCAAATTGATCCTAATGATACCTATGATGTGGCCAAAAATGTAGAGGTGTGCCATCCTCCCCTGAGATCCTACTGACCTAGTGGCCCAGGGTCACTTTATCTCCACTGTGTAGCACATACTGGTATGGGAGGAACAGAGGAATAAGCTTGCTTGATCTGAAGGACCAAGGGCATCTCTCTTTTTGAAGGGCTACCTCCAACATCCTGACTCCAGCCTGGGATGAGGTCCAGGCCCATACGGCCCATGCAGGCACTTAGGGCAGGAGGCATGGGTGGCAGGCCAGAAGGCTGTGGCACACCAATAAGTTCCCTGACACTGACAGCGAAGTGCATGTGGCTCATGGTGGAGGGAACTGTTTCCTATAGCCAAAGCAAAACCTGTGAGAGGACACAGGTCCTTGGGAATCCCTCCAACTGGGATTCCTCCCAGGGGCTTTGCATCGACATGACAGGCCCATTCAGCTGAGCCCAGCGCACAGCCCAGTTTATTTACACAACAGACAAGTTAGAAAGCATTGTATTAAGAGCAGGTTTCTAAATTTGCATGTTGGAAGTCTCTTGCTTCCTTGGCTATATTTCTGTTCACTTGAGTAATATTTGACGGCAGTTCAAAGACTACTTATTCATACAGCACAGGAAAGAGGAAAACTCTCCTACAACCAGCTTGCTCTTTGATAATGAAGTCAGTATTTTCCCCTTGATAAGATTAAAAGTATATTTAAGAGACCAGCCTTCCAGGAGGCACGCACACACATACAGGGAAAGCAAATGAAATGTGACAAATATACAGGAACCAACCATGTGGTAACTGCACATGAATCCGCTGTAAACACACCATGCACAACTTTTTATGGTTTAAGGGCTCATTTAATTCCTATATCTAATTTGCATATTAAATAACCATGTGTACAGGAAGAAAAGGGACAATGGGGTATTTCCCCCAGCTATTAAGTACTCAGCCTACCTTAGGCTGTTGGGTAAATTAAGAAAACTGATCTCCGCGGGCTTCCTCTCCTGCCACTGAAAGCGAAAGGCTCTCACAGGGGGTGACACAGAGCAGCAGCATCCTTTAGAGTAAGTCACGATAACAGTTTTGCGCCCCAGCAGCCAGAGAGCAGGCTCCGAGGAAGAGGACCCACAGTAGGACTACTTCCTCCACTGCTGATTACGCAAGGAAGTTTCCCCACAGACTCCAACACAGTGGGGATTTTATCATCAGTGTGTCTTTCTGTCATGATGAGAGCATTGCAAATCAGTTTACTACAGAGACAAAATAATGAACAACTTTTCACTCTTGACTTAACAACTTGCCAACGTGGGAACGCACA